AACTATTGAATTAAATACCAATTATAGATAAATGTCGGGCAAACGGATAGCGATCATCGGCGCGGGTCAGTCGGGTTTGGGTGCGTTTAACGCGTGTCGGGAACAGGACTTTGACGAAGTGGTTGTGTACGAGAGGGACGACTGTCTGTGCGGTCTGTGGGCTAATAGGGATAACACATGGATGAACACCTCCGAGGAGGGCGAGGGCTGTTCCCGACTCATGACTACCACTACACTAAACAGTAGCAAAGAGATGACCGCTTACTCGGACTTCCCGCCCCCCGAACACTATCCCAATTATATGCATCACTCGCTTATGGTATTTGTAATCTAATGTTTTAGTCACAATATAGTTTCATGTATACGATATTATCTAGATTATTTAATGTTTTTATCTATTTCAAATTAAGCCACAAAAATATGTAAGTTGTTATTATATTAACCACTAGTAATGTTAATATTGTTTAGAATTTTAATTGCTTTTAATCAAGTAAATAACCAAAGTGGCCTAGATCTGTAAAAATAGAATTTTATTATTTTATTAATGTTATAATAATTATGTATTAATAGAGAGAATACCTGTTATTATATGCGGAGAGAATTGGTATCAAAGATCACGTAAAACTCAGACACGAGTTAATCGGTTGCCAACAGAACGCGGACTACGACCGGACGGGCAGATGGAGGCTAACGGTGCGCGACATTGACAACGACCGGCTGTTTGACGAGGTGTTCGATGGGGTGATTGTCTGCACCGGACGTTATCACCGGCCGGTTATACCCGACATAAAGGATCGGCATTTATTTAAGGGATGTGTCGTCCATACGAACGCGTTGTCGGACGCGACCGGGTTTAAGGGCCAGCGAGTGGTTGTGGTCGGTGTCGGCAACTCCGGCATCGATATGGCCGTCGAGTTGTCTAACGTATGCGAAAAAGTGAGTCCACTTAACTATAATCATGTTAAACAAAGTAAAGTACATTAAGGTAAAGTATAGTGACCAAATGTTTTTTACCATAGGTATACTTATCGTCGCGCACCGGGTGTTGGGTACTGAGCCGTGCGTTGAGAAGCGGTCTGCCGACCGACACATTAGTATTGAGACGCAACTGGCGTTGGCTGTACGACGGCTGGACGTACCCCTTGGGCAGCCTAGTGGCCACGTCTTGGATTAATGTGACCCGTTTTGATCACAAACTATACGGCCTAAAGCCCGGGCACAGGGCGTTTTCGCAGGGCGTCGTATTTAGCGACGATTTGCCTATAAAAATCATTAGGGGATTGATTACCATGAAGGCTAATATTGAACAATTTACCGAGACAGGCGTTATTTTTGCAGGTAATCGAGCATGGGTTTATATAATCAAGTTTAATTTATACTAAATTACAATTGTGCAATTGAATGTTTGCTAACGTGACAAGTATGATGGTTTTAATTTAGCTTAATACGAGATCATTTTTTATGCCGATCAATATTAGGCGATACGGTTGAGACGCTGTGCGATGCTGTCATATACGGCACGGGCTATCAATTGTCGTATCCGTTTTTACCCGACGAGTTACGCCCGGAGCTCAACCCCGACCTCCGGCTATACAAACACATATTCTTCCCGCACCTGAAACACCCGCAAACACTGGCCATAACCAGTAATATCACGCCTACCGGTGCCGGCAATCCAATGATGGAACTTCAGGGCAGATATTTTGCGTTATTGATGGCCGACAGGTGCCGACTGCCGTCCGAGAAGCGTATGTTCCGCGATATCCGGCGCCAAAAGGCGTGGGCAATACGACAGTACCCCTCGTATGACAAGTACGCCACTCACGTTCAATACCTTAAATACATGGATGAATTAGCCGTCCAAATGGGTGTTAAGCCCCGGCTATGGAAATACCTGTTTACTGATCCGATTCTCTGGTGGCACCTATACTTTGAGGCTTGCGTTCCCTATCAGTACAGATTAAATGGTATAAACTGTATATTGGCTATCGTATGATGGCTCTTGATTATTTGTATAACACTTAATAATTATCATGGTATTTTTTAAATCTAATTTATAGGCCCTAATTCATGGCCCGACGCCAGAGCAGCCATATTGACAGTTAACCACCGCATTAGAGCCCCATTTAAAACGCGCTCTAATATATAGTTAGGCACTTTGCCAACTATCCACTACTTCTTAATTAAGAAAACATAACTTTTAATTAATTTGATTATCATAAAATTGTTTTAAATCTTTTTTAATCTTCGTATATTATATCAATATATTATATAATTTAGATTAGGAGTGTCCAAAAAACCTATGATTTAATGCAAACTTGTGCAAGTTTACATAGTAAAAATAAATCTAAATCGTATCTGGGGCACACATATTATAGGAATTACTCGTATTTTGATATCAGCTCATTAATAATAATGAGTCATTATTAATGACACACAAACATTATAAGCAGTTTTATAAATATAGATTTTATAATTTTATATAAAAATTTTATAAATTCAATAAGCATACAATTTTGCACATAATTTTATTACACGCACATTTTTAAAAATATGAATACTTAAAATATGTTTTACATAATATACTGTAATATAATTAGCATATTATAAATGCTACGAATTATAACAAAAAATTGTTGTAACTTAAAATTTCTTAAATTATAATAATTATCTTGTTAAAACAAATAACCATATTTTAATTTTTAATTTCTTTGTTATGTTTATTGAAATACTGTTTATTTATAAGTTTATTAATTTTAGCATATTTTAAATTGATATATAATGTAAAAGAAAATAGTAATATATTATTGGTTACCTCATTTTACACAATAAATCACTGAATTTAATAGGAATTAATATAAATCTTACAATGCATTGTATAAGCTTTGAATATTTTACCTGTACTTATCAAAATAAAGCCTCTAGTATTCATGAATGTAAAAACAATTAAAATAATGCATCTCTCTCTCTCTCTCTCTCTCTCTCTCTCTCTCTTGAAATTAAACAGTGAATTTGAAGGTTATTTTTAATTTAAAATAAAATGAAGGTCAATTACATGTTAAACTAATAAACTTGATTTGGTAATGCAATATAAAGGTGTAATAATAATAAAAATAATTAGCACATTAACATAAATTTAATATTTTAAATAATAATATCACAAACAAACGCAGAAAAGGCAAATTTATTTATGCATTAAATGAATTTATGATAAAAACATTTCCAATAAAAGTAATTATATTGAAAAATTATTGGGCATAGAAATATTATTATCTGCATATTATTAACGTTTAAAAATTTAATTATTCACTTTTGTTTAACAAGGTGTCGCTTGTAAGCGTATTAAATAAGCTAGGTTAGAAAATGGCGGTCAATATAACTGACGCTTCATTTAGCTATAAAACTAATCACGTGGTTCTGAATCATTTAAATGTTCAAATACCTAAAGGTAAGCGATATACTATTTACTTTAAATTAACACTTTTTTAAAAGCAACATACTGCTTATCGGTAATGTTCATTTTTGTTATTTGTGCAATGTCATACTGTAAAGTATACTGTCCTGTACAGAGTGTCCCTTGAATTATTTTACATAATTATTCTATACATATTTCATACATAAATTAAAACTACATGTTTTCATTAAATAATGGAAATGTAATAAAAACAATTTATGATTAATTTAAATAACAGGTAAAATATTTGCACTGTTGGGTCCGAACGGAGCCGGAAAGACCACATTAATGCGCGCAATATTAGGTCAATTAAAATTAAAATCGGGCACAATCTCGGTGTTTGGCAAAAAGCTCGGTTCCGTTGGGTCGGGAATTCCGGGACCGGGCGTCGGGTATATGCCTCAGGAGTTGGCGTTATTTGATTATTTCACAATCGGAGAAATACTTAATTATTATGGAATGATATATCATATGAAAAGTGATGAAATTGATGATAGCGTACGTAATTTAAGAGATTTGTTGCATTTGCCCGAAAGTTCCCGTATAATCAGCGAATTAAGTGGTGGCGAACGGCGCCGGGTGTCGATCGCCATAACAATGATACACAAACCCAGACTCGTTATATTGGATGAGCCAACTGTGGGCGTGGACTCACTGCTCAGGCATAGGATATGGCAATACTTGGATAATATGTGCGATAAATATGGTAACAAATAATAAATACTAAATTTTTTTAATTGTATTATTAATGTTATGATTTTTAGGCCAAACAGTGATAATAACGACCCATTATATAGAGGAGGCCCGGAGTGCGCATAACGTGGCGTTCATGAGATGCGGCGCTGTATTGAGACAATCAAATCCCCAACAATTGATGGCTGAATACCAGTGCCCGACACTGGAGGACGTGTTCCTACAGTTGTGTCACTTAAGCGAAAGCGGCGTTACTTTAGACCAAGATTTGCGATACAAAGACAATACAGATATTGATTTAAATAGTATTAACACTTTGACAACAATTGAGGCAAACATTGATTACAAAAACAACGAGTTTATTGATTGGCAACGAATGAAAGCGTTGCTCATTAAGCAATGGATTATTATTAAGAGGCGTCCAATACTTATAGCCATCTATTATGGAATTATCATCTCAACACTGGTATCATTGAACATGGTCATCTCGCAAAACATTAACAATATAGCGGTGGGCATATCTAACAACGATATAACACTCGGTGATAATCAGACATCATTAGCGCATCTATTTGTCGATTCAATTGATCCCAAAAGCCTATCGTTATCTCAATACGAGTCGATTGATAGCGCCGTTCAGTCGGTAAGAAATGGCGACAATTATTTGACGCTTGAATTTCGGGACAACTTTACCGACTGTTTTGAAAGCCGAGTGATCGACACGTTTGACGCCACCGATGAGTGCGTCGAACAAAGTATTATACGACTATATATTGACTTTTCAAGTAATAATTATTCAATTATAACATATCATTAGTAAAATATAATACTTAAATATTATACTTTATTAATATATTGCAATTGCAATCATGTTATTTATATACTTAAGTGAATATGCTAAAAGTTTACATTATTTTATTTCAAACAGACCCGCTAGTGGGAGTTACATCAATTAAATACGTGCTGGATGCATTTTACATATTTATAGACAAGTTGGGCCAGATGTTAGATAAAACAAACATCTACGACCAAATGTCAATTATGAGAGTGACCGAGGTGCTAAACGGCGATTTGAACAATGTACTTGCCACATTTACCATTTTCGGCCCGCAAATGCTGGTGATGATGCAGTTTTGTTACGCTATGCTATTATCATCAGGGTTAATGATCAACGACGTTTCGTCGCCCATAATGAGCCGGGTGTTGGCGGCGGGAGTCACTGAGTACGAGTACTGTGGCGCCCATACACTGATCAACGCAATCGCCGGTTTAGTACACGTGTCGGTCGCTATGATTGTCGTGTTTGCGGTGTTTGGCGTTCAAACTGTCGGAAGTTATTGCGAAATATTTTTGTTTTTATTTTTACAGAATTTGGTCGGAATTCTTACCGGTTTTTTGGTCGCTGTTATTCTGGCCGACGCCGCTTCCCTTATGGTAAAAATTACTTAATATTTACACATTGTAATTTACTATTATTAATACAGCGCAGCCTCTCTATGGGAAACTCGTTTTAGGAAATTACTATATACTGCATAAGGGTTAAATGAAGCACAGCTGTATCTAAGTTCGGACTCAGATGATCTATAGCTTACAATTTGAAATAAATGAACTAGTTTTTAAAATCTAACACAAACCCTCTTAGGGAACCCCCTTTAGATAAAACACTATTATTGTAAAACTGTCCATTTCTTATAGAGAGACTGCACAGTATCCTATAACAAATATAATTATTTCAACATACTGCATTGTATTTGTTGATAGGTTGCAATATGGTATATATTAAATCACATGGTTTACACATCGGGTCTCGTTTGGCCCATCGAAGCCATTCCCCAGACGTATCGGTTCATAGCCTACACGAGTCCAGTGACACTTCCCGTACAATCCATGATTAACATAATGCTTAGAGGATGGTCGTACACACAACCCAATGTTTACTATGGCTACTTACAAAACATTGCCTTTATTATTATATTATTGCCTTTAAATATATTATTAATGAAACATAATTCCCATAAGAAATAATAGTTTAATAAATGCAAATATTTACTAATGTTATGATTTATACAGTGTGTACCAATTATTTTTATTATATAGCGTTACCAGAAAATATTTTGGATATCCTGTAATACAGGACCTGTATAATTCTGCAAATTTTACCTAAAATTCCTGTATTTTCCTGTATTTTTTGTTTCTCAATTAAAACTTCAAGTTCATGCAATTTCCAAAGAATTATATTTTTGTGAAAATTCGAGTGTTTATACAATGTCTTTAAAATTGAGTTAATTAAATTTAAATTCGTTTGATTTCTAGCATTAGTTCAGATGAACAGTAGGCGTACAGGACTAATATTATTAACAAATCTGAATATTTTAATACTTTTATAGTTTATTACTAAAATATTTATTTCTGTATTTTTCAATGTACAGGAATGACACCTTCCTTCCCTATCCTTAATTCCTGTATAATACAGGTCATTTCTGTATATCTGGCAACGCTATTATTATACCGTATTGGAACGTTTTGGAAGCTACTTACAAAACATTGCCTTTATTATTATATTATTGCCTTTAAATATATTATTAATGAAACATAATTCCCATAAGAAATAATAGTTTAATAAATGCAAATATTTACTAATGTTATGATTTATACATTATGATTTATTTCTGTATTTTTCAATGTACAGGAATGACACCTTCCTTCCCTATCCTTAATTCCTGTATAATACAGGTCATTTCTGTATATCTGGCAACGCTATTATTATACCGTATTGGAACGTTTTGGATAGCGGGAATTTGTAGGCATTATTATAATGTATTTTTTATGAGAGCATAGAGGCAAAGCCCACCTGAGAAGTCATGGTGTTACAAAAAACATAAATGTTACTATTTACTAAAGATGACAGTCTAAAAATAGTATTTTGGTAGGACGCAACACCCTCTAACAAATGAGCATCAATTTGAACAAATAACCTATTTAATTTAAATTGTATCATTGTTTAATTTAGATTAAGAGCATTCAAAATAATTTAATAGAAATATTAGAGGCTGTTACTTATATTAGGAGGCGGGTAGAGTATTTATGCATAGTATGAGTTTAATATGTGTTATTCCCAGACTATCCTTTTTGAGTATTTTATAGTAATCAAGTTTTTAATAAAGATTTCATTACTTCTATAAGATAAGCAATTTCATAGACCACGGATGCTATCAGGGGTAAAAATAGGGGCAAATCTGTTTTATTATTTATGTGCGGCATTTTATTCACTAATTCTATTCAGATATCAGATAAAATGATTTTTCAACAAATACGTCAAATGAAAACATGTCCGTGAGCATTCGTGTCATAAACTAAACATTAATTCCATATACTGTATAATATATTTGCAAACTATAGAAATTACTAAAATTTTACATAAATTAAAATTAAACAACTAAATTATAGTTATTTTTAATTACACAATGTTAATTAATTCAAGTATTTTAAATATACGGTAAACATATTTAAAGTTAAAACAAACAAAAAACAAAATAAATATTCAATTTACGTCATTCGATCACATTAANAAATTAAACAACTAAATTATAGTTATTTTTAATTACACAATGTTAATTAATTCAAGTATTTTAAATATACGGTAAACATATTTAAAGTTAAAACAAACAAAAAACAAAATAAATATTCAATTTACGTCATTCGATCACATTAAATATTTTATGTGTTTATTAAGGAAAAATAAAATATTTATTTTAAAAGTTATTAAAATAATTATACAATTACGCTATACAACAACATAATTTACATACATGTATATTATAATTTTATTTAATTGCTGTTAAAATATTTATTAAAATAACAAGTATTAAGGATGGGGTAATTGTACAGATGTTTAATACATGTGTATTATTCATGTATTAAACCTAAATTATGTGACATAATGTTATATATTTTCCCGAAATTCTTGTTTTTGCAATATCCATCCTCCCAAAAATTGGGAAATTTCCTAAAGATATAAATGGTGTGGTAACTAAATAATAATGTTCAAAAAATGCCAAGAGTGCAATCGGGAATTATTAGTATAAATCGAAAGTACACTCTGTAGGAAGTATTGTGGTATATTTTATTTAACCAGACGACTTCGGGTTTGGCCGTAGTGACCACTTTTATCGGAGAAAATTTTAATATCAAATCGTGTATATTATAAATAACCATATCATATTATATATCAATGGAAAGGTATGGATGAGTAGAATCGATATCTGAAGGAATTTCCCAAATCTGACATAATGGGTAAAAGTTATATCAAAATTAAGAAATTTAATAACAGTTATGAACGTTTTTTATATTGATTAACGTAATTACTGTACATCATTTATATCAATTTTAATTATGCTCACAATGATAATTAATTTCGCAAATTAAAAGCAAATAAAAAATTTTAATATAAAATTTTTGGCATTTTATCAATTTACATTGAACTTTGTCCTTTCTCGAAGTGAAATATTAATTAATTGTTACAATAGTGTTCAAGTAACAACTGTTGGCGTATGCAAATTGTTAGAAATTTGGCCATAACTTGGGTGCTTATGGCCATTCGCACGTTTTGAAGGTTGTTTATGAATCTCAATACAGCACTCAACACAATCAAATCAACCACAACTGGATTAACTAGGTGATGTTGGCATACTTTCCTGCTTAGCATTATGTTCTAGTTTTATTATACAATGTATAATGATGTATGTTGTTTAATGTTTTATTATATAATGTATAATGCATGGCAAAAAGTTGTATGTATTATCCCATCCCATCAAATATTGTTAAAACAAGGAATTTTATAGTTAATTATTTTTAACCACAATTCAGTATGAATAATGTGGTTTATAGGATCGTT